TGGCTACATAAATACTGGTCCACTATTCTGCTCTAAAAAGGGTCATATCTTTAGTAGGGTCATAAGTCTCAAATCTTTTATCATTACTTCCAACTATGTCATTTTGGGCCTACCTTTTACTTTTTTCTTTAGCATTTCACTTGAATTAACTCGTACCTCCTTATAGGTGTTGTACGGGGTCTACACCATATATGGCCAGACCTCCTAAATCTACTATCTTTCATCTTATCGCCTATTAGTGTCAAAAGACTGAGCACCATATAGTCGCATAATTCGATTGACTTGGTATTGCTCATCAGTAATTCTATGACTATTTGGTAAAGCTTCCACAGTCGGATACTATTTGATTTGGTCATAACTTCAATCAAGGAGTGAAGTTTGTTAGCAATTCAAGATTTCAAGGAGCAGTGGCTTCTCCTTAGGCTTTTACTACCTCATAATTGAGGAACATGATACTCTTTGATTTTTGTTGGGTGAGTGTGGCCATTAAAGGCCTTATGAGTGTTTGTAAAATGAAATGATATAATGGAACATGAACGCAATGGGAATGTGGTCCCTCGTAGACCATACCAAACAAATAATGTTTGTTGATACCGGATTAAGCTTGACGATCTAGGCCGATCGGTTGGAAAAAATCTATGTTACCTTGACATATAAAACTATCTGATAAGGGTTCTAATAGGTTATCCCTTTACGAGGTCCGGGTATGCTTGGATGAGTGAGTCGAGGGACTGTGTGACCCTTATATGTGATGGTAGCCTTCAGAGACGATTCCTAAAAGTCTCATCTATGTACAATCACACGGGATGCATAATGATAACCATTTCGAGAAAAGCGAACTACCTTTTAAGGTGAAGCTTATGCATATGCGAGAGATACCCTTATGTACCATAAGAGCTGTGGTCGCATCATGTATAAGTAACATTGGCACATCTTTAGGGGAGAACCTGAAATCTACAAACTAGGATTACGATCACTTGGCTCATTGGCTAGACTTTGGTGACCTACTAATGAGCCCCTACATGGATTGTGAGTCATGGAAAATACTGGGTTTGTTTGATAAAGCAAGTGTGAGCCGTAGTTCACAGTTGAAGGTGAAATGCCCCAGTATTTATTTATTTATTTATTTCCTAAATCGTATGGATCATTTTCCCATATAATGAATTTAATTATGTTTGTTTTAATGATATATGATTTTTAGAATTTTTATTTGAATTTTTATAAAAACAAAGATATTGACTTTAGATTGATTTAAATATTCAAATTTGATTTTATAGATTTCTAAAAATCATATAATTAATTTTAATAACTTTAATATTGCATTAGAGGCCCAATATGTTAATGGACCTACTATTGCATATGGGTGGGGCCCATGAAGTACCACCTAGGATGGCACAACCCACCCTAATGAAACTTTTGTTGTGTTAGTTCAAGCTTTGGCTTGAAGATAAAGTTTTGAAGTGTTTTGGAAATATTTTTCCTTGAGGAAGCTTTCAAAGGATTTTTGGAAAGCATGAGAAGGCTTGTGCATAACTTTGGTAAGCACTATATTATGAATGGAATTATTTTATTTTATTTTTATTGATGGAAAAATGATTTAAGAATGGGGGATAAAGGCTCTAATATCTTCCATAATATTGATGGCTCATCTATAGAATTGAGAGCTCAAATTTATCACACCATAAGTCACCCCATATCAATGGTTCATATTTAATCTCACAATGAGAGGCAATCCAATGAAAACCCTAAAAAACCCTAATCTTGTTCAAGCACTATAAAAAGTGGATTGATCCGTACCCCAATCTATATACCTTATCTTTTACACCTAATTCACATATATCTCTCATATCCCACAAAGGGGGTACACCCTACTGAAAATATATATCTCTCTCTTAAGAAAATTTTTCTCTCTCTCTTAAGAAAAGCTTTTTTTCTCTTTCTCATGAAAGCCCAAAGGGAGCACGCCCCACTCTCTCATCTTTGAGATCTATCTCTCTCCCACATTATGAAATAACCTAAGGGGTTTAAGCTATTGAGAGTTGTCATCTCTCTCATGGTGTCTTTCATGATCTCTCAGATCTCATTGGGGTTTTAGACAATACGGTTGTGGTAGAAAAGAGAAGTATTTCTCTCAAACTAGGTTGCTAAGGGGATTCACCTAAGGGTTTGAGATTTGTGATAAATTAGTTCATAGTTCCATTAGAGGGTCTGACCTAAACTTGCTTTCCCTGTTGAGATTGAAGATTGATCGTTGATCTCGCACCATCATATGGTGGTGACTTTGTATGGAGTGTAATAAGCCCTGTTGAGATAATCTTCGGCACTCTCTTTTTGTTTCTTACCATATTTAATTATATTGTCTTTATATTCCCAAACATAAGAATTGTGGATATTTTTTTTCTTTAAAGAAAATTGATGTAATGACATCAAGGTTTTTAAGATTTGTAAGTGATCTTTGCCAAAAGAAAATAAAATGGATAAAAAGAAGAAAAATAAAAAAAATATATCCCCCGACAAGATCACATTAGTCTTTCTTTCAATCAAAGAATGAAGTTTTTTAGCAATTGAAGATTTCAATGAGCATTGGCTTCTCTTTAGGCTGTTGCGACCTCATAATTGAGCGACATGATACTCCTTGATTTTAAGCACCTGAATTGTACTCAGTTTTTGAATGCTCGGCCGCATTCATTTAAATTCAGCACTAGTTACTTGGATTTAGCCTCTTGTTGAGCTGAGTACTTATGTACAAACTTAAAAACTATAAAATGTATTAAAATATTATCTATAGTTTTTTTATATATAAATATTTTATATATGTTTTTGATTTTTTTATGATGTTTGTGAGTTTCTTTTTTTTTCGTATTCCCAATTTTAAATTTTCCTTTTTTTTTATTGAAATTTTTTTTGTTGTAAATATATTTTTCCTAAATCCATCACTTTCATATGTTTTTTAATCTTATTTGGAGAAAGGAAGAAGCCCGAGAAAGGAGGTGGAGGGAAGTGTTATGTTAAAACCAGTGTTTAAAAAAACACCGAGTCGAACTGGACTCACCCGGTTCGACTAGGGAATCGCCATGGACAGATCGAATCGGCGAAAAAAACGGGAATCGTCCGGTTCTAGAGAGAACCGGACGATTCTGCTCAGTGACTCGCCGATTCACTGAACGAAATCGGCGAGTCCCGTACGGATTTTTTTTTTTTTTTTTTTTTAACCCATGATAGAATTTTTTGTAATCCATGATCGAATTTTTTGTAATCCATGATTGAAATGTTTGTTTTTTTTTCTTGTAATCCATGATTGAAATTTTTGTTTTTTTTTGTTTTTTGTAACCCATGATAGAATTTTTTGTAATCCATGATCGAATGTTTTGTAATCCATGATCGAAATTGTTTTTTTTTTTTTTGTAATCCATGATCGAAATGTTTGTTTTTTTTGTTTGTAATCCATGATCGAATTTTTTGTTTTTTGTTTTTTTGTAACCCATGATAGAGTTTTTTGTAATCCATGATTGAATTTTTG